TGCTCTGCTCTGCTTGCCTCAGTGCTCATGAGTGTGTGAAGAACTCTACTAAAAAATGGGTCCAGTAAATTTCCTTAAAACATGGTATTTTTCAGCTGACTGCTCTGCTGAGCCTCTGGAGAGTTGGATTTCTTTCTTTTTTGGCTGTAACAGGCAGCTTGTGGTGACCACACTTCTGATCCAACCTCCTGTCCTGCGCTTTGCTCCCCCACATTCCCCTTCTCACACCTTTGTCCGTGGGTGCTAAGCAGGGTTCAGACGCAGCCCAAAGTACTCACATTGGCATAGCTAGAAGAATAAAATCCTCCTTTTTGGCTATTGTCACAGAACAATTGTTGCTGCTGAGGGCTCAAGAGCAGCTAGAGCTGGGAATGGCTGTTTTTTGGACAGTCAGCTGAATAAGTGCTTGGGGCAGTGCATAAATGTCCTGGTGTAAAGATCTGGGGCGCTTGGGTTTGAAACAGTGCGGAAGCACTTCTGAGACAGCGTTCTGCCCTTGGCAGGCCCTGGTGGGAGCTGCTGCTGTTCTCTCGAGGTTCCAGGTTTGCACAGGGATGGTGGATGGGCTGGAAGGCCAGCACAGGCAGGAGTGACTCAGTGTCCCCGTGAGTCACCCTTGGTGCTCCGGCAGGATCCCGACCCCGAGGGTGTGAGTTAGGTAGGGATGGGATGCTGTGTCACCAGCCTCTGTAGCACCTGGGGCTGTGGAGTTTCTCCTTCACAGAAGCCTGGAATCCTTTCAGTTAGAAAAGCCCTCTGAGTCCATCCTGGGCAGCCTTGGACAGTGCTCTGGAGCTGCTCTGCTCGGGACTGGAACTCCATCCCTGCAGGGGCCAGAGCTGCGCGGGGAGCGAGGGCTGGTGGCACAGGTCCTGCAGGTGCTGCGGGTGCTGACCCACAGCCAGCACTGCTGCTCTGAGCTAAAAACGGCAGCTAAACACAGCGGTGACTTCCAGTTCACTGCTGAGAAACCGGGCGCTTCGGTCTTGGGGCAGGAGCTTGGTTAGCCCTGCTCATGCTTTAGGATTTGTCCTCCCAAGTTTTCCCTGAGCAGTGGGGGCTTTTTTCAGTGGAAATAAGTCTTTACTCCCAGCCTGTGGAGGTCCTGGGTTTGTGTGAATATGGGAATGAATGAGTCGAGGGGAGCTTGGAAGGAGATTCAGCAGAGTGCCGAGCACATGCTGGGAATAAAGAGCCCTTCAAAGCTGATGGTTCTGTCCAGGGGTGGGGGCGGGTGTTCAGCTGAACAAATTGTTCACTTTGGCTTCTTTGCAGGCAGAAATGTTACGATCAGCTAATGAGATTGTTCTCGAGCCTTGTGGGGTTTTCTCTTCCTCCCTCAGAGTCATCAAGAGAGTGGGTTTGGCAGAGCTTTAACTCTTGCTCTGCACACTGATCTGGTTTTGCATTGATCCAAAATAATAATAATAATAATAATAATAATAATAATAATAATAATAATAATAAGGTAAAAGCTTGGTGAGGTGAAGAATGAATGTGAAGAATATACAGGGACAGAAGCAAAGTGGAAAATAGCAACTGAATTGGTTGTCTTACTGAAGAAAAGTCCCATCCTGCATCTCCTGGGCTCTGTCCCAGGGCCATGGTGATGATCCTCTGTGAGAGGGGCTGAAACATTCCCAGTTTGCCTCTGGAAGGTGAGGGAGACTGAGCTGGGTGTCCCTGGAGGAAAGTCTCAAACCCCAGAGCTTTGAATCACTCTGACGTGATTTCTGCTGTCCAAAGCTGTGCAGGAAAGAGGAGAGTCGATCCAGCACTGGAAGGTGACTTCATTCCAGGGGACAGCAAAGCCCCTGGGAATACGCAGAGTGGAGGAGGGGAGCCATATGGAAAGTGCCTGGAAAGCTGGAGCTTATTGCCTCATCTTGTGGCATTAATCTGTGAGCATCCAGGCTCTGGGAGCTGCTGGTGCCCTGGGCTGTGCCGCCTCCTGGCATCAGTGCCAAAGGCATTCTCTGGTTCCCAGTGAACCCCTCCCATGGCTGTTCTAGCTCCCAGCCTGCTTGGCTGCCTGCAGAGCTTCTCAGTGTTTCTGTGTTGTGTTTCTCTTTCTTCTGGCATCGACTCTTTCTTCCAGCGTGACCTGTTATTCCTCATTTAATATCAAGATGGTTTGGGTTTGCTCAAGTGCTTGGAGTGGCAGAAACAATCTCCCTCCAGACCCCAGTGGCTGTTTCTCATTCATTCTGCTGATTCCTAGAAGTGGATCTGATAACGTAGCTCCCCTCCAGCCTGTAACTCTGATCTGAAATCAGTTCTAGCTCCATTTTTCTGTGCTGCTCCATGTCATTACCACGCTGCTTTAGCAGCAGCTGGTGGGTCTGCTCTGCTCACTTTGCAGCTGGGCCTTTACTAGGGCAGTCTCCTGGTGAAAAATAAGTCTGCTAATCTCTAATTCCCTCCGTTTGTTGGGGCTGTCTCTGTCTGCCTGGTTGGAATTCAGCTGCACGAACTCAGCAGAAAGCAGAATGGACTGGTGGGTGGATGGGCTGATGGAGGGACTTGAAACTGAGACTGAGATTGGATATTGGGAAGAAATCCTGTCCATGGGGTGCCCAGGGCAGCTGCCCCTGGATCCCTGCAAGTGTCCCGGGCCAGGCTGGGTGGGGTTTGGAGCAGCCTGGGACCGTGGAAGGTGTCCCTGCCCATGGCAGGGGATGGAGCTAAGTCATCCCTGTGTCAGGGCATAACCACCCTCACAGGGAGGAATTTCTTCCCAGTATCCAATCTAACCCTTCCCTCTGTCACGTTGAAGCCGTTCCCCCTTGTCCTGTCGCTCCATACCCTTGTGAAAAGTCCCTCTCCATTTTCCTTGTAGATTCTCTTCAGGTTTTGAAAGAAAGGGGAGGGTTTTCCTCTCCCCCGGAGCAAGTGGAGGTTTCAGATCCCCAGTAGTCACCGCAGGACATCACTCTGTGTTGGGCGTGGTTGCTCCTTTCTAATGCTAGACGAGCAGAGAATCATTTTCACAAAAAAGCTTGTGGAGGCATTAAAGCTGAGGAATATCCGTAGGTCCTTGTCCCAGAGCTGATCCCCATGAGGGAACATCCATCCCATGATGTTGCTGCCAGCACCTCGCAGGGAAGGGTGGGACCGAGCTGGGAAAGGCTCAGTTCTAAATATAGGAACGCTACGCTGGTGCTGTTTTGGAAAGTGTGGCTGAGCCATCATTCTGTTCTTCCCCTCCTCCACTGCTGCCTCAGGGTGTCAGAGGATGAAGTGTACATTACCGTGTTTCATTTTCTTGAGTTATTTTTGGTTCAAATCCAGTGGGTTTTTCTGGGGTAGGATGTGTCCTGATTTTAAGGTGAAGAGCAGGTCTGCTGCTGCTTGTGCTGCCATGTTACTTAAAAAACGAAATGGATTGAGAACTATTCTTTCAGTACTTAATCTCAGTTTCTTTGTAATCTGAGTGAAAGAATAGGCTGTATTTATCAGCACAGACCAGTGTTCCAGCAGGCAGAGGTGCTTTGTAATGTTGGGAGAGGCAAACTTAGGGAATTGGCACTTCAGATGTACTCTCAACACCATTTGATTCTAAAACTTATTTCTAAAAATTCCCAGGGCTCTGTGGCTCCCCAAAGAGCAGACTGCTGAAATCTGGTTTTACACGGGGCAGTATTCCAGAGGGAAGGACCTGAGCCCCTGTGTTTTGGAGAAGGCTGGGAGGGCAGAAGGCAGTGGGTGCTTTTGCCTGTTTTGTGGGAACGTGGCCTCATCTACATTGGCTCTGCAGGGTCAGCCAGAGGTCCAGCAGGAATATGGATAATGTTTCTTGTTCTAAATGCAGGTGTTTCACTTGTAGTTTGAAGCAGCAACTCCTTCTTTTCAGGGTATTTCTATTAGTTGATTTGAAACTTGTAATAACCCTGGGACTTTTTTGTATTTATTTCATTTTTAGGCAAGTGCATTTGGTAGCAGTTATGCCTAAATCAGGGCAGAGGCCCAAGAGGTGCAGATTTTTTGAAGAACTTGATGATTTCTGCTCCTTCCCATCTCTGCAGCTGGGGCTGCCTCAGTACAGAACCTCATTGACCACGTGCTGCTTCTGCTGTCGTGGCTGGTTTCAGCTCTGAAATGGGTTAATCTCAGCAGAAGACTTTCTGGTTTGATTTTGGAGGAAACATCTGGACATTGCTGTGGCTCCCCTGCCCCACATGCTTTGGCTGGTTCAAAATTCCTACACAGAAGGAGGGGGAGAGAAGGGCATAGGGAATTATTTTGTGATTAATTTCTTAATTGCTAAGCATCCAGATGTGGCAAAGGCTTTGTGCAGAAACACTGGATTTGTCAGCACTTTCTGCTGATGCTTTGTTTGCACACCATGTCAGGGTTTCTTCCTTTCTCGGAAGCCGTAATATTTATCCACAGGAATCAGTATGCTTAGGGTATGTTTTCATGATACTGTGGCTTTTAACGTGGAGAGTGGAGCTGTGGATTTATCCATTCCTTACCATCTCTGTGTTCCTGTCCACCCTGGAGTGCAGCAGTAAGGATTGAGGGTGCTTTGATGACAGTTGATGTTATTTCCTGGCTTCTTTATTTGCTTGGTCCATCCATCAGCTGCAGAAATCAGGTTTGCTTTGCTGTGCCTGCTCTGTCCTGTGCAACACGTCATTGCAGGGGAGCAGCTTGTGCTAAATTGGCCTTGTTGGTCCTCTCCACCTGGCAGTGGTGGTTGTGAAACTTGTCACTGGGGTTTAATTGTGGCCACGTGGTGTCAGCTGCGTTCAGGTGGATTTGGGGACCGATGCCAGAGACTTTTTTTAAAGACTTCAGTCACTGGGTGCCAGCAGATGTTGGAATATTGCTCTGCAGAGACATGGCCCTTGCAGCACATCTGTAATTTCCTTGGTAATTATTAGCAGGGGTGAGATGGTATCAGTCCTGCCATCCAGGATGCAGCTTTTGATCTGTCTTGGATTTCTGTGGCCTGTGTAATGAAAATCACACTGAGAATACTGCTGTGTGCCTTGCAGGAGGCGGAGGGCAGAGTGGAGGTGGGCAGCAGACCGCGCCGCCATCGTCAGCCGCTGGAACTGGCTCCAAGCCCACGTGTCGGACCTGGAGTACCGCATCCGGCAGCAGACGGACATCTACAAGCAGATCAGAGCCAACAAGGTGAGGGGCAGCGGGGACAGGAGGGGGCAGGAATGGAGTGGGATGGGGCAGGGATGGGGAAGGATGGGACAGGATGGAGCAGGGTTGGAGCAGGATGGAGTGTGGTGGAGCAGGATGGGGCAGGAATCGAGCAGGGATGGGGCAGGGATGGAGCAGGATGCAGCAGATGGGGCAGGATGGAGCAGGATGGAGTGTGGTGGAGCAGGATGGGGCAGGAATCGAGCAGGGATGGGGCAGGGATGGAGCAGGATGGAGTGTGGTGGAGCGGGATGGGGCAGGAATCGAGCAGGGATGGGGCAGGATGGGACAGGATGCAGCAGATGGAGCAGGATGGAGCAGGGATGGAGCAGGATGGAGTGTGGTGGAGCGGGATGGGGCAGGAATCGAGCAGGGATGGGGCAGGATGGGACAGGATGCAGCAGATGGAGCAGGAGGCCTTCAGGCACCATGCTTCTGCTTTGCCTCCTGATGGCTCCCTCTGACACTGGAGAGTGTGGATGTGAAGTCTGATGCTTTTTCCCTCCTGCCTCTCTCCCAGAGCAGATTGCAAAGCTGTGACTAATTGTAATGCAATTTGGCATGGGCTGAGTGTAATTCCTGTCCCTGGTTCAGCATGATAACGTGAAGGGAGCGATACCTTGCTTCAGAGTCAGTCTTTGGTGCTGAGCAGAGCTGGTGCTGTTGCATGTGTAATGCTGTTCCCCATCACTCAAGCCTTTCTCTTTAATATTTTTTTTAAACCTTCCCATTCTTTCTTTTTGGGAGTAGCTGAAGATGGGGGTAAAAACAACTGAGATTTAGTGGAAAAGGGAGTGGTCTGTGGAGGAAGTTAGTTCAGATGCTATCTCAACAGGCTTAAAATTGAGCCTGTTCCGTAAAAAAAGATAATTTTTTTGTGCTGACCTTTCTCTGTGGAAGTAATTTTTTTTTAGCATTGCTCTCAGATGGTGGGAGAATGGGGGTGAGCAGAGAAGGGATGAGGAAGGGATTGTTACGGAGACTTGTTCAGGCATGCACATCTAAATGTCAGGCCTTGGAGGAAGGAATGTCTGGAGTTTGTGGCAAGAAGGTTCCTGGTATTGCATCAACTGAGAGATCCTCAGGAATTCAGTCTGGCAAACGCCTTTCCCAAGATGTGTGCTGCTCTGGGGGTGGTGGGGAGAGGCTTCCAGGGGGTAGAAAGCAGGGGAGGGAGACTGGACTTTGATGCAGCTGTGCAGAAGAAACAGGCTTAATTGAGTGAGTGAGGGCTCTAAATGAGTAGGTGGAAGAGCACGGCTTGTGAGCAGAATCCATTACTGAGATTAGGGCAGAAGGCTTCTGGGAAGTGGGCAAATGAATGATTCTTCAGAAAGAATCATCCTCCTTCTGTCTTAAAGCTGATGGTGCAGCATGGTTTTAAGTACAAAATACAGAATAGCTGAATATTTATATGCTAAAAGTTAAGTAATGGAAGAAACAAGAAAACTCACGTAATGATGTGGAAGGTTCAGGGCTTTCACCAGGTGATGGCAACTTGACAGGCTCATGAAGTGGCATGGTAATGGTCACAAACATCCCTGTGTTTTTATAACATAGCCACAAGCTCTGAAAGGAGGGTCTGGCCAATAGGATCATCCTCTTTGATTTGTTCAAACCAAAACTCAACTGTGATACCCCAGTACATGACTTGAAGATAAAACATGTTGCTTAAGGTGCAGGGGCATTCAGAACTTGAGTGTTTTGGGTAGTGGCTGTTCTGCCTGAAGAAGAAAAAACCAGAACCACGAGTTCTCTGATGAGGCTTGCTGGAGATTACTCTTGCACCCAGCTGTCGTTATCTTGATGTCATTGAGCTCTGGGATGGTTGTAAAACAGATTCTGTTTGCACCAGTGAAAAACTAGAGACTGTCTTAAAAGGGCTTGGAACAAGAATAGGAGACTAGAGAAACAACCCTGTGTTTCAGAAACACACGAGCTTGTTGGAATGGATTTGGCTTCAAATTGTACAAGGAAAACAGTTAAAGAATTTGGGAACACCTTGTTTTTTCTATCAATATAACTCTAACTCCAGCTTATTGGGCCACAAGGAGGTTAAAATGTAGCTGCTGCAGGAATTCAGAGTTCTACAAGTTCTAAAGTTCAAAGAAATTTGATTTCATTCTTTTTTAGTTTAATTACCTTTATATGTTAGAGTTTACAGCCCAGTGTACCCTTCAAGAAAGACACATTGCTGTGTCAGATCAAAGCAAGGGAAGGACGAGGCAGTCAAAAATAACCTTGTGTTTTGAGGGTAAACTGCTGCCTGGGAGCCTCAGCAGGAATTGTGCTCTCAGCACATCCGGATCAGCTCAGTGGGAGCCTGCTGAGAAGTGGAGGAAAACACCAAATCAGGGAGCGTGTGCTCGAAGCTGGTTGTAAAATATCCTGTTTGCAGGCACTTAAAAATAGCAGGCTGTTGAGGGAAGCCTTGTGGCTCTGTCCTCTCTCCAGATAATGTGCCCAGGTTCCCTCCAGGCTCACTTTGCTGTGACACACTGTGCAACCTCCAGAATTGTTTTCAGGTGACTGATCTGCTTGTTCCTGATCTGAGCAGCCCCTTCACAGTTCCTTGTTTGACCAAATGCTGCTCACTGGGGCTTGTCTTTGTCCTGAGCTGTGTTCGTAGTCTGTAGGTTCCATCAACTCCATAATCCCTTGTATATTTTGCTCTCCTTTGTTATAATATAGCCCAAAATATGCATAATTATGGTGTTTTTATTTCACTTTGCGTTGTTCTGAGAGCAAAGCAGCCCTGCCTTTAGGTTAAGCTCAGTTAAACAGGAACAGGATAGCATATGTTAAACCTGATAAAACAGTGCTCAGCCACTGTGCTAAGTTCATAGCAATGTCTTTCTTTCCTCTCCTGTTGCAGGGCAGGGGGAAATCTCAGAGTAACAAGTTGGTAGATTTTTGTCACCTGCTCAGGACTGCTTGCTTGGCTGTGGTGGTGAGCTCACTGCAGGATTGGGGAGTTCCAAGGGCAGCTGCTGCTGCTCTGTGCTCCTGCAGGAAGCTCCTCTGCCTTGGCTGGCACGGGGGAGGAGGGCAGGGCTGGCAGGTGGCACAGGCAGGGTTCAGAGGCCTGTGAGCTGCTCCAGCTCTGTCCTTCCATCCCTGAGTTCAGCTGGGGTGTCAGGGAAAGCCAGCCAGCAGGGGCCTGGGTTTGGCGTCGCGTCAGGAAGCCGTGGTGGGAATGCAGGGCCTGCCTGCTGTGCAGCATGGGCTGTGGGGACGGTGGGTGTGCAGTGTCCCTGTGCAGCCCAAAGCATCTGCAGTTAATTCCTGTTCTCTCTTCCAGGGGCTGATAGTTCTTGGTGAAGCGTCGCCCCCTGACCCTGCAGTAGATGATTCGTCCCGTCCCGTTAGAGCTGAAGTTAAGCTGGAGCCTGGGGCCGACCGGCTGGTGAGTGCCAGTGTGGGAGTGACTGGTCCAGGGAGTTTTGGGGAGGAAAGGCTCATCCCTGAAGCTGGGAGCAGAGGGATGCTCAGACCATGGGAATGGGACTGGCCTCGTGGAGCAGCTCCTCGCTGTGACTCCAGGTGGGAATCACTGATCTTGGTCTGCAGCTCATCCCCTCCTGCGTTGTTTTGGGGTAATAAACAAAGGGATTTAAACACCTTTTAGAACAGAGTTCCTGGAGGCACCTTTGTAATATGCATTAGCATTTTGTGAAGCTTTAAAATCCTAACTAATCCTTTCCCTTCAGCAAGAAAAGTACCTCAAACTGAGAGCAGCATGATTAGCAAAGGCTGCTAAAGATGTGCCTATTTAATATCTGCCTGAGCATTCCCCCTTGGAAAGGGCACTAATAATTGCAGCGAGATGCACTGGAAACTGTGCAGAGTGCCAGGTATTTATTATTTAATGCAGAAATGTAGGGCACAGACTGAAGGCTTGATTGTACTGTTCATCCTGCCTGTGATTGCTTTGGATCCTGGGGGATGCATCAATGTATTAAAATGGAGGGTTTGCAAGTTGTGCTGGAGCAGGAGGAGAAGGGTGGTCCCTGAAACTTCTGCAGGTTCTACTTGGTGCTTTGTTGTGGCCACTCCTGCAGCACTGTGTGTCTTCTTGGCCTGCTCCTGGAAGGATGTTCGTTCCCCTTCCACAGGGACTCACTCCCACATCACTGCACACTCCCAGCCTCCCTGTGACAGGGCTGGAAGTGTCACCCCTGGAACCGCCGCCTCCGGCAGCCAGCCCCTGGGTTTGTGCTTAATTAGGGCTGCTCATTAGGGCGGGGTGTTGAGTCAGAGCCCTGATCTGCTCCGAGCCAGAGATTACCCAGAGACGTTGCCGTGCCGTGGGGGCTCTTACTGGAAAGGGATCTCTTGGGCCCTTCCTGGAGGGGTGCTTATCATTTTGGCACCCTCCAGGCCTTGTCCCCCCGAACTGGCAGAGTAAGAGACACGTGTACTACGTGGAGCAAAGGGAGGAATCCATCCTGTCTCATCCCCAGCTCCCCTGGCTCTCCTCCTCTTGTGAGTGCCTCCTTTGGCCGGACCCGTGTCCTTGGGCATCGGCTTCCTACGTGGGATGGGGCTGATAATCCCCAGGAGGAATTAATCCTGTTGCCAGTAGAGGGAAGGGCTTTGCAAGTAAGGCCTGGGAATATCTTCTGGGAAATGCAAGCTCAGTAGGTGAAGAAACATTTTTGTCTGAAGGTAGAAGTGACATGAAGCCCTGAAGACATTACTTGGCTGTTGATTTTGGTTCCTTGGATTGCTTGTGTAGTCAGGGGCTGCACTTGATATTGCCCCCTAATTAAATATTTCTAGTAACAGGTGAAGGTCTGAACCTGCCTGCTTTTGTTAGGGTTTTTTGGGAATACAGGGGACATTCCTGGTGTTGTCTCATGACTGCCTGTCCACATGCAGCTGTTTTGCTGCCCTGATGTGCAACAGCAGTGTCTACAACTGAATCTTCACCCCCCAAGATTTCCAGGGATCCTAAGGACCTGGACTTGCAGACCCAAAGCACAAAGAAGAGCTCAGTCAGGAGCAGGGCTGTGATCCTGGTGCTGTGGAAGCTGCTCTGGATGCCAGCCTGGCTGCCCAGGCAGCCCTGGAGGACAGCATGGCCTTGGGAGGAGCTCCAGGGGCTGGCGTGAGAGTGAGAGCACAGGAGGTGTTGGCTGTGCTCGTGTGCCGGGGTACACCCACCTCAGGGTGATAAAGGGAGCCTGGGCTGCTCCTGATAAATGCACGTTGGATTGATGCTCCCAGCTTCTCCACAGGAAGCAGCTGAGCCCCTCTGTTCCTATCTTGAACCACCGAGACAGAGCAAGCTCTTGGAGAAGAAGTTCCTCCTTTAAGACCCTTTCTGTAGAAGAAAATAAAGGGTTTCAAAAGAGCCTGTGAGTCATGAGTACCCGCCCTGCTGCACCAGGGGTGCCTCTGGCGGGTGTCACGTGGAGCTCAGCCTTGCCAAGCCTCTGGAAAGCAGAGGGAATGTGTTCAGCTCCTGCATGAGTTCACCTGGCTGGGGTGCTGAGTTTACCTGATGTCTCAGGTGTGACCTGATCTTGCTCTTCCATCTCTCTGTGGGGCAGAGATGGTCTCATCCTGTCTTTGCTCCCCCACAGGAGAAACATCTCTTTTAGCAGAAGTGCAAAAACCCCTGTGAAGTTCCTCAAACAGGCCCAGGCAGAAGTTGTGTGGGTCGTTGAAATTGCCCTTCCCTGGGTGACTCAGGTGTCTCCTCTTCTGGAAACCGTTAATCCAGCACTGCCATGGCCTGCTTTTGTGTTTATTGAGTTGGGGGTGTTTGCTGGGAAGATTTAATCACCACAATACAGATTGTGTGTTGGGGATGGAGTCCGGGCCAAGCAGGGGCCTTGGCTGACCATCTGTGTGGTTTCAGAGCTCTGCTTTTGCCTTTTTTCTTGGTACTTGAGCCACATCACCACTGTGTGTGCTCAAAGGGGGAACCCCAGCGAGAGACAGGGCAGGGAGTGTAGGAAGTGCCACACAAAGGAAGAAATAAAGTTTAACCCCGGGGAGGAGCATGGCTGACAGCAAAACCAGGGGACTGCACGAGAGGGGCTGAAGGTGATGAATGCTGGAGGTATGGACGCACTGGTGGGCTGCACCAGGATCCAGAGCAGGAATGTCACTGGTGGGAGGTACAAAGTCAGTGTGTCCTTGGAGGCTTGGTGGCAATCCTGCTGCTCCCTTTAGAGCCAGCGGGTTTGTGTTTCAGACTTCAGGCAGAAGGGGTTGGGGAGCACAGTGTTTTTAACTCAGTTTTTACTCACTTTGCTCTACCAAAAAGGTGTTTCCAGCTTTGTGTTTATGCAGCACTTGGAGCATTACAGACTTGCTCTGCTCCCATCCCAACTCCACAGCCTGAGTTCACACTCATTTAAAACACTCCCTAAAATACTGTTTGGACTCTGTTTGCACAGGTAGTAAGTTAAAATGCAAATTCAGTTTTGCAAGTCAGTTCCCCTCTCCCTCCCTCTGTTTTCCCCCAAAGTGCTTCGGCAGGAGCTTTCAGCCACATGGCTCAGAACAGAAACCAAACTGCAGGAGAGACTGCAGAGGTTTACAGGTGGTGATGAACTTGTTTGCACCATGGAGACAAAATGCTAAAATCTCCTTAAAACCCTGAGCCTTTCATGCTCCTGGTTGCCTGAGGGGAATTAAAGTCCCTTGGATCTTGGAATGAAAGAGCTGCCATGTATCCATCCTCTTGCTGTCCCTAAGATCTCCTTTATGTCCCTGGTCTCCTGTTCATACAGTGACTTCTGAACCCTGGTTCGAACCTGTGTGGAAATCCATGGCTACAGTACAGAATCCTCAACTAGAACCCAGTAATAATAATTTTGGCTATTTAAGAAGCTTTTACTTATTTGTATTTTTCTCACCCTTCCTTAGAGTGTGTCTGGATCCCAGCCCCTAGAAAGCTTGGGTATTTCTGCTGCAAATACTCCTGAATCCCATCCCACCAAGCCCTGTGGAGCACCAAGACCCGTCAATGGAGTTATTAACACGTAAGCTCTTGGGTATTCTAGAAGAGTTTGTTTTTATGATCTTTGCAATGTCCCATTGGAAACCAGGCTGAAACTGGGTTGTGACTGGGTTGGTAATGGTACAGATGGGGTCTTTTTACAAAGAAGTACAGTAGTAGATCATGCCTGGAAACATTTTGGAGGAGATTGCTTGCTTGAGGTTTTCTGCTGCATTGTTTTGCTGGAAATGGAATTAAACAGAGCTGTGTTTATATGAACAAGCCCTGCAGGCAGCTGTGCGCTGAGCATGGGCAAAACTTGTTTCTTTATGAGTAGTTTTAATACATCTGCAAACTGTGTGATTCAAAGGTACTAATGCCCTGCTCATGAAATTGTCTGTAACCACTGACCCACTTTATTGGAGTAACAGAGGAATCCCACTGATCTGGGGAGTGAAACTTCCTAAATTCTTTATTTCTTCAGGCTGCTTTTGTTGACAAAGTCTCAAAGTGGGTAAATGAAAACAAGTGAAAGACATTCCCTGATGCTATAGGGTTGAACCACTTGAGAACCCTTGAAAAACACTGCACTTGTTCAGTGCCTTGAGGAGGCAGGGGAAAAGAGGGGAAAAGGGAAGGAGGAAGGGAGGGATGGATGGATCCTGCACTGATGTAATGCGAGCAGATCAAGGAGCCCATGGCTGCAGCTGGAACACTGCAGGCTGTAACAGAGCCCTTTGTATCCCTGTAGCCTTTGAACTGCACAGCCTTAGACCACAGGGCTTTAATGTTTTGCATTTTTAGAAATGAAACACTTGTAGAACAGACATGAAAAGGTTCCGTAGATGAGGCACTGCTGCGCTGGGATCTGCTCAGGGCACGGGGTATTGATGCCAGGGCTGCTGCAGCCTTTGTGCCTAGGAGAGGCTGATGTTAACTCTGCACCTTTCTGGGGTCACTGCTGGGAGCTGGCACAGGTAGAGATCTCAAATATCCATCAGAGCCAAGTTTACATCAGGGCTAAATATTTTTTCTATAAAATTATGTGTTCTCTGGCTTTTAGACTCATGAAAACCACTGGTCTTAAGATTCCTCAAACTCTCATTCTGGAGGAAGCTGAATTCTAGGGTTAAAGCTGTTCAGGTCTAGAGTGGCTTTTGCTCTGTGGCTTTCAGTGCTGTTTTTTTGTTCAGAGCTTCCAAAGGTATTGTGTCAGAGGTTCAGTCCTGGGAGAGTGGACTGTGACTGAAGTAAAAGCAAAAAATGGAGTTGGTTTAATAAAACCTGTTGTGCCATGGACTGCAGAGCTTTAAACTCAACTTGGAGTGTTTGCTCAGGTGCGAACCACGAACCTGCTGGAAGTGCTGCATCAATAACTGGGGTTTTCTTGTTGTCCTCTTGCCTGGGGCAGTCTGCAGCCTGGCCTGGCAGAACACGCTCAGGGAGATGGCCAGGAGGCCGAGGAGCTCCTCCACAAGAAGCAGCGGCTGTCCCTGGTCCCCGCGGACGCGACGTGCGTGGCCGCTCGCACCCGCCCCGTCCTCAGCTGCAAGAAGCGGCGGCTCGTCCGACCCAGCACCATCATGCCCCTTTCCAAAAAGGTGAGTTGGCTCTTCTCTGCTCTTATTTTTCTTGTCAAGATGGAAAAAAACAACAGGAAGGAAGAGCAGGACAGCAGGGCTGTAAAGGCTGTTGGAAAAACAAAGGAGAAAGGAAGGAGAAGGTTGTAACGGGTTGGAAGATTTTTCTTAGCTGTCGCTGGGGAGGGAAGATGCTGAACTCGTGAGTTTTCTTAAGCCAACCAACCTGAGGTGAACTCAAGGCCAGGTAGGTCAGTGTGGCACAGTCAGAACAGGAGAAAGAAGCCCTGAGAAGTCAAGTATCAGGAAACCTTAACTCTGAGACAGGAATTAGCAAAGCCCCAGGCACTCACTGCTGCTCCTCAAAGGAAAAGCACAGCTGTTTGCCCGGGCATACATGGGATGAATGCCCCGTCTCTTCCTGTTTTGTTTTCTTTATTACTATTTTTTTTACTCCTCTCCCTAATGCAGAATTCATTCAATGGAAATGCAGTTTATTGCCTGTATGAGGAAGGGCCATGTTTAATTCTTTTTATTTTCTCTTAGGAATATCATAAACTGTCAGTTAGAGGGAAAATTGTGAAAAATGAAGGAAATAAGGGTCTTTATTTGTGCATGCAGAACCGTAATGGCAGAAATCCACTTACCTTTGAGACCAAGTGTTTCAAGTCTAACTTTCCCACAAGAGTTGGGGGGCTTTCACTCTGTATATAGAGAAGCTCCAAAAGCAGCATTTTTCTGAGCAAAATAGATTCTTCCTCAGCTGAGTCAGCTTTAACTGATCACTTATCTGCAGTTTTATCTGGGGTATTTCTGGGAGAGCTCTGCAGTGATTACCTGCAAGATCTTCAGTGATTTGGAAGTTGCTGAACTTAGCTGTGGTTGGTGCTGCCTTGTGCATTCAGTGCCCGAAGAATTGGCTGTAAATTCTGTGTTGGATCTTTGTTGTTGTCATCAAACACATTTGGTAATCAGAGATGGTTCAGAAGAGCAGTTCCAGGGATGAAAGTACCAGAGAGCAGGGGATTTCTGAGCCCTCCTCCAGTCATTCCAGAGACAGCTGAGTCATGGCCAAGTCCTGCTCCAGAAATACCAGGTCCAGTTGCCTCCACTCCCCTGCCCAGCACTGAGTGGCTGTGGATTGAGCCTTGCACATGCATTGTTTTGATCTTGTAATGTTTTTATTGTTTTCCTCACAATTCGGTGCAAACATTTATGGGAATTTGTGCTCAAAGCTGGGGGCAGCCCTTCAGCTCACACGTGGGCAGAGTGGCAGGATTGCCTCTCTCCTTGCACAGCCATCCTGGTTAGAAAGCCCTGTGGGCTTAATCTTTATTATTTTTTATTAATTAATTAGTTCCCAGCAGTGGTACAGCACTGCTGATTCATGCTCATTTTTGGATCCATCACAACCTCCACATCCCCTGGGCAGAACTTCCAGAGGTGGCAACGTCATTGCTCCTCTTCTCTGGGGACTGCATTTACTTCTTGCATTTGCCCTCAGTGAATTACTTTTGATTTATTTTAGATAATTTCTCTTACCTTGTAACCAGGAGTGAGTTTCCAGCTCTTTGCTTCAAGCAGCCCTTCCCAATGTAGTGTTATTTGCAGTGGATATTCTCTCCCATCCCTCAAGTCATTCATGGAAATTACTTGAATAATTCTGACTGAGAGCATGCTTCTGCAGGATCCAGTTTGATCCATTCTTCCATTTTGGTGGGGAATCAGGGGTTGTTTTCTCTGCATGGGGTTTATATGCAGTTGTGTGTCTGCTTGCAGTGGTTTCACACAAATGAAGTCTGTATCAAATCTATAAATGTGTGAATTGTGACTCTGTCCTGGATTAAGGAACAAAGTTGAGAACCACCTTTGTCACTCTGTAGATGTCCCTGCAAGTGTCAGCTCCTGGCATATAATGATGGCTCTGACCCACTGGAACTAAAAATGGCTTCTCTGCCCCTTCTATGACAGCAGAATTGTGCTGCCTCATGGTTTTTATAAATGAGGTTTCAACCTAGATAAAATTAAACACTTTTAGTCAAATTTAGCAGCTGTTAAACTGTCTGTGCTGGTAAGTTGCAGTTTTCAGTTGTGTTTATGCAAAGTGAAAGCATCCTCTCGTGAGGCCAGACTAAATTATCAGGTTCCGTACAAGGTAGAGAAAAGAAAGGGGGGGGGTGTATGTGTGCATATAGATAGATATATATACACATTAAATTATATATTAGATAGAATTAACATTGAATATACTATACATATATATTATGCACAATAAGTATAATTTTATAACAATATTTATGAAGATCACGTAACAGCTATTTAATATAATAAATTATATAGAAATAAGTTGACTATCGTACATTAATCGATAATAAAATGTAGGTATAATGTGTAAAATGCAGGTTTGATTTTAGATATTTTATATACATATACAGCATGTATTTATGTGTGTGTACCTATGTATGTAGAAGGAGCAGTACAAAGTACAGCTGCTTTTGGGGTGTTTTCCTTGACGTGTCCCTGTGTCCGCAGGCGCACCGCGGCAGCCTGGCGCGCTGCAGCTGCGACGTGAACCCCGCGTGCGCCCTGTGCGGCGCCCGCAGCTCCGCGCTGGACATCCAGTACGACGCCCCGCTGCTGGAGCGCCTCTCCCAGCTGGACTCCTGCATCCATCCCGTGCTGTCATTCCCAGACGGTGAGCGCGGCTCCTGCTGCCTCCTGGGGCTGCCAGGGACGTGCAGATCTGCTTGGCCGCAGCCAAACCTGCTCGTCTGCGTTTTGAGATCAGAGCCGTCACTGGGGCAGGAGGGTCTGGGAAAGCGTTGCACCTGGGCTCTGCTGCGTTTTGGGAACCTCAGCCTGCAGCCTCGCTCACGGAGGGGAAGGTCCTTCCTGGGACCTGGCTCTGGGGTCTTTGGGGCTCTAAGCCACTTTAGAAATATTTGCTGTCATGAGTTTGTCCATCTGTATAAAGTGATTTGTGGATCGGTTTGTCGCAGGAAATCCTTTTGATCTTGTGAGGAATTGAAAATGATCTTCCATGGTTTGGTGGGCTCAGCAAGAAGGGATGTTCCTGTTAGGACACTCAGTTTCCTGTGTTACAGCTTCAGGGTTAATCATCATTAAGAGAGGAATAATTAACCAGCCCTGATCATGGGCTATTCACAAATTCCTGTAGGGACTTTTCCCAAGGGAAGCGTAGTGTCCAGAGTCTTCTTCAACTGGTTGGGAAGTGGTTCCTTCCCCTGGTGGGAGTTCATGGCTGCTTGAGGTGTAAAACTGTGGCTGCTCCATCCTTAGAAGTGTCCAAGGCCAGGCTGGTTGGGGCTTGGAGCAAGCTGGGGAGTGGAAGGTGTCCCTGCTCAAGCTGTTCTGGGATTCTCATGCTGGGAGGAACCTGTGGCCTGGCTTCCCATGGTGGTATCAGGTCTGGGATAAGTCACTGGGCTAATGTGTGTGCTTGGGTTTAAATTCCAGCTTTTCACAAACTTCATGTGACAGTAGGAAATGCAGGGAGTGTCTGGGAGCAATTAGTGTGGCCTCTTTCATTAGCACTATATTTAAACCAGACTAAAATAGTAAATTGGTGCTATTTTTAGGTAGATCCCTCCCCTCCCAAAGACACAGCTCTGATCAGGAGTGCTCAAGGAACTTAATGAACTCCTGAAGCAGGAATTTATTTTCTGATTTCACAGCACTTGTGATCCTCTGTAGTGCTAAATCAAATATCCTGGGAAATGGGGAGACAACCTGTTGGGTGCTATTGCAGCAGGGGCACCAGGCAAATTATCCCATATTCTTTCCGTTTTCAGGGCTCCCTGCAGCTGGCTTACAAGGTAGAAGATAGTTCTGGCTGCATGAGATTAAAAAACATTGGATTTAAAACTAGTTTGTGTAAAGCTTAAAACACCTGTGCAGGAATACCCATTTTCCAGTGCTGGTGAACTTTATTTATTCACTGATGCTTAAAGCAGTTGGCTGGGGCTGATTCTTGGGATGGGGGTGGTTCCTATCACAGAGCAAAGCCAGGTAACGTGTTCAGGTGGGGAGCCCCTGGTGCTGTTGGTGTGTGCTGAGGTGTCTCTGCACTCCTGTAAGCACAAATCCAGGTGCTGCTGGGCTGGCGCAGGGCAGGGCTCGCTGAGGATTCCTGGTGGCCGGGGCACAGCTGTGAGCATGTGCTGACTTTCACTTTGAGCCCTCTCGGTGCCAGCCGGGATCTCCAGAGCAGTTTGCCAAGGGCAGAACTGCCAGGCACTGCAGGAGGAAAAGATCATTTATTCACTTGTTCCCCTGGCAAGCAGGATGCAGCCAGCGAGCCTTTAACCCTCGCGCTTGTGCTCCGCCAGAGCTTTGTCCCCTTGGTCCCCTTCCTTCCAGGGTGCTGTGGGGTGTTTTGGGTTTTTGTCTGGTTTGATTCCTCGCTGGGAATTTTTGGATGATGTAATAACCTTGGAGGGAGGATGAGCGCTGGGCTCACTGTGGTTGCCATCTGCCGGTCCCTGGGAGCCCTGCACTGCTTCCCTGGGAGCAGGGGGAGGAGGGATGGTGTCACTGCTGCCAGCAGGGCAGTGCCAAACGGCACAGAACTCACTTAGCCTGTCCCGTCCTTGCACAGATGGTGTGGGATGTGAACTGGGAGGAGAAAGCAAAAGATGAGCAGAGAGCAGAGGCCATTTTCCCCAAGTCTGACCACTCCAGTGGATGGCAGCATCCCTGAAGGACTGGCCTGGCCTCCCTCTCTTTTCTGGGACATGTTCCCACAGGCCAGCAGTGATGGCCAAAGAATTGCCATCACCCTGTGACTACCCTTCCTTAGCAAGGGGCTGGGGGAGAGCTTTAGCCACCACGGTACTTGGAATTAAGCTGTCCTGGCTTTTTCCAGGGAGCCAAGTCCCCACCAGCTCCAGCCCATGCTCTGCCAGCTCCATCCTCTTTCCCTGCCTGGATCTGCTGGGGCTTTCCAATCCCTGAAATTGGGAGGAAATACTGGACAGGAGTTCCTCCTGCGCCCTTGGGGCCTCTCAGGTGTGGTCACACACAACTTCTCATGGTTGAGGTGCCACATCAGGCAGATTAACATGCTGCAGTGCCTGGTTGGCTTCTGGCTTGACTTGAGATTGAGGATTTAGGCTGAATTTCTCTCTGCCAGCCTAGATTTGGTGCTGAGATACCTCAGATTCTTGGAAGTCAGATCTGAGGTAGCACCACAGGAGATACCTACAGAGGTGAAGACATAGGAGTTTTCTGACTAAGAAAACTTTGTTCTTCTGCCAGTGCTTGCGTGTTCATTGAGGGCTGTTCTTACTGGGGGCACTGGGGCAGGCTACTGGGACCACAGCTCTGTGTTGCATGATTAACTTGGATTCCACGTTCTGTACCTCCTGCAGATGTGCCGACGAGCCTGCACTTCCAGAGCATGTTGAAATCCCAGTGGCAGAACAAGCCCTACGAGAAAACTAAAGCTCCCAAGAAGCTGTCGCTGAAGCACAGAGCCCCCGTGCCCCCCAGCCTGGCTGACCCCGTGCGCAAGGACCGCCACAAGCTGGTCAACTCCTTCTTCACCACGGCCAGTAAGTGCTGTCCCTGCCCCAGCAGCAGCAGGAGGAGGAGGAGGAGGATGGCCTTCAAGTCCTGCTCCCGGGGGTGAGGCAGGGCTAGGGCAGGGCTGCAGTCGAGGTGTGTGCAGGTGCAGCTCAGGTGTGCAGGGACCTTCCCGTGCTCGGTGCCAGCCATGCCCACAGCAGTGCCACAGGTCTGAGCATGCCTCCCCAGCACCCCCGTGGTGGGGACAGTTTGTGCAGCTGGAAAACTCTGCCCGAGTCTCCTGTGCCAGCAGAAAGAGAGGTGAAAGCAGGCATTTCATAGCTCTTTCTCTGTTCCCCTCCTCAGAGCGCTCCCATCAAAAAGCCCAAGCAGACAAGGCACACAGGCCGCCTTTAGACGATTTTTCGGCCGTGTCCAAGGCCGAGAGAGCGCCAGAGCGCTCTGCCCAGCCTCCTGCCTTTGACAAAAAGCGATTGCGAGACTGCTCATCTGAGAGGAGTGAAGGTAGGCCCCCAGGGGCAGGTGTCTCGGGGGGAGCTTGGGCTTTGCTGCATCCCCAGCCGCTCTGCCCCAGAGAAGGGGGCACGCACTGCTTCGGGCCCAGCCGCCACCACAGCAACGCCTCGTGTGCTCTAAACTGCTTCTTCCCCAGGGCAGCCCCCTCGAAGGTGCTTCTCTTTGCTGCAAAGTGCTCCTCAGCACCGGCCGTCTCTGGTGCACATGGTCCTGTCCTCTCCACCGCCGCCCCTTGGGTGGGCTGGGTTTTTTTGCTAATGCTGTTGTTCATGTTCTCCCCTCCCTGTGCAGTGCTGAAGCATCACACGGACGTCGGCGGCCCGAGCTACCTGTCAGCAGCTGTGACCCCCACCCCTCACAGCCCCATAGCTCGGCAGCTCTCCACCTCCTCCGAGGGCTCCGCTCCCGCCAGCTCCGCTTCCCAGGGCGCCTCGGGCACCGCCGTGAGTACTGCTGCCTTCCCTGGGGTTCTGGGCTCAGCCCACGCTGGGGGCTCCGCTGGTGCTCGGGTTTTGGGCTGGGCGAGGCTCAGTGTTTCTCTGGCCACACTGGACCCGCTGGTTCAGCTGCTGCTGGGGCTGCTGGGTGGGTGTTGGATATGGCAGCTGCAATTCCAGGCTCGCCATCGGCTCAGCAGCTGCTGCTGAATGTTCCTGTTCCCAGCAGTCCCTTGGCTTTGGTCCACACCCAGATTTTGCTTTCTGAAGCAGTGTGGGGCTGCCAGGAGAAGAGCTGAGCCCCAGCAGTGTCCCAGCAGTTGGATGGGGACAGCTCCTCTCGTGGCCTCGGGGTCACCGGGCTGTGAATGGGCTCGGGGTCACGGGCCGGGGCACTGCAGTGGTGGTGGAGATCTTCCACCTGTGCTCAATTCCAGCAGTCACTGAGCTCTGGCCATCTTCTGAGACACACTCAGACTGCCACAGTGCTTGAGGGTGGCAGGGTGTGGGATCTTCATGAGCTGTGTGAGTGAGCAGCACCAAAACTCCCTCCCACCCTGCTCTGGGACAGGGCACAGCTCCTCCACCAGACACTGTCATCCTCCCAGGCCCACGTTAGCAGAAGCCCTTCAGAGAAAGAATGAATTCTCCTGAGCTCACAGGTGTCCAAGTGAGGAATTTGGCTTCTGTCTGGCCCCCCATTTGGTGGTTTGGGCCAAAGCCTGAGCTGGATGTGACCCAGGGAAGCAGAGCAGAACTCCTTGAGCCCCCTGCTCCAGGCTTGTTGCCACGGGGTTCTGGGTTCCACTGGGTTCCTTCGCTGCAGAATTCAGTTGTTCCATCACCAGCTGTGACGTCACGGTGTCAGAAGAACCCAGTGGTGGTTCAGCTTGAGTGTGCTTGGTGTTTTGGAGGAGAGGACAGCCCATCTCAGCAGCTGACGCCTCAAGGAGGCCTTTCCTTGGCTCTACACACCCACCCTGGTTTTCTCTTGCTGCTTTTCCTGCTGTGCTTTCACAAGCGTGTTCAGAAATGCAAGATGAAGAGGTTTCCCTCCCCCAGCAAGAGGATTCCAGGCTCTGGGCTCAGGGGTGGAGCTCCTGTGTTCAAGCGTCCCAGGCAGCTGCGGGTCTGTGTGGGCTCCCCAACCAAAGGGTCAATCCTCGCTCTGGGCAGCCACCCAAACCTTGGGATTTGGGTTTCCTTGCCTGCTGGGGCAGTAGATTTTGGGTTGAGAAGAGGACTTGGAGCAAGCAGTAGGGGAACTCTGGTCTGATGCAAACTGATGTTGGCTCTGAAGTGTCCGTAGGTCAGACAAGGCCATTCTGTCCTCTTTCCCTCCATGACTTCCTCTGATGACTTTCCCACACGCCAGACCCCACAGCCCTTTCTCACATGGTTCTCCCTGTTGCAGCAGCCGAGGAGGAGGAGGGGTGAGAGCTCCTTTGACATAAACAACATCGTCATCCCCATGTCCGTGGCTGCCACCACCCGCGTGGAGAAGCTGCAGTACAAGGAGATCCTCACCCCCAGGTACTGCCCCAGCCCCAGAGGGAAAGCAAGGTGCTTTGCTTCTTCCTTGGGAATAAGGAAAAGATTGGAAAACTGATCATACAATTGCTGGAGACTGGCTAAATGAGGGAGTATTTTCTCTGAGGAGCTCTTGGCCATCAAAGCCAACTGCTCAGCTCAGTGTCTGTTCAATTGAAAGTCAGTCCTGGTTGTCTCGTTGTCTTGCTGCTAAGTCAAAGTGGTTTCCCAGCTCTGCAGGTGCCTGGGCTGGGTTAACCTTGCAGTTCTGCATCTTTCCAGCTTCCCTCTTCTTCCTGGTCATCTGTGCTCTTCCCTGGCCCATTTTGGAGCAGGGCAGGGGGGAGCCTGTGTGAGGAAGAGAAGGAAATGCAGCAGCCTCTGCTCTGCTTTCTCTGCCCTTGGGAAGCCCCAGCTGAGCTAGCAGACCACCAAGGAGGTCTGAGAGTGTTGCTCCTCATGGCAGGGTGGAATTTCCCCTTTCCCAAAAGCCAGTGCTGGGAGGGGAGGGTGATGTGCAGCTGGTTCTAGCTGTGCCCTGAGTGATGCCCGTGGTGGTTGTGTTGCAGCTGGCGTGAAGTTGATGTCAGTGCTCTGAAAGCCAGCCCTGAGGAGGACAACGAGGAGGTAAGAAGGATTTTATTTCCCAGTTAATGTGGGATGAGGCTGGTGGTAAATGAACAATGTCTGTGGAGGGAACAGAGGCAGGGAGCCCACAGCTAGGGTGGATCCTTTGCAGGGCTGTCAGAGCTCCAGGAGCATTTGGACAAGCTCTCGGGCCCAGGGTGGGATTGTGCAGGGCCAGGAGCTGCACTGGATGATCCCTGTGGGTCTCTCCCCACTCAGGACATTCTACAGTCCAATGATAAACATTTAAATTCTCACTGCAACTATTGCTGGCAAAACTACAAAGATGGTTGTTTTGAGGAGGAAAGCTCTGACCGAGCCCTCTGCCCTTCCCTGTCCAGGTTGAGGACCTGTCAGACTCGGCCTTCGCTGCTCGGCACGGGAAGTGTGAGGAGATGGAGCGGGCGCGGTGGCTCTGGAGCACGAGTGTCCCCCCGCAGCGCCGGGGCAGCAGGTACAGCCCTGCCCAGGGGCCACAGTCCAGCACTGGGCTGCCCCTGGGAGCCCGTGGGGATCCTGGTTGAGAGGGTTGAAAGCTGGTGCTGGTGTTGAAAGGTGTGGCATCATCCAGCTTCAGGAGCCCATGTGGGAGCAGGGCACGGGCTTGCTTAGGTGGGGGTGAAGCTACAGCCCAGTTTGGCTGCAGACAGCTGCACCATCTGCTTTCTCAAGCATCTCCACTGCTCCAGAAGCGTGGGAGATGCTGTGCCAGCCCGGGAGTCCAGGGCAGGCACAGGGCTTGCAGTGGCAATGTTCCTGCAGGATCAGGGACACTGTCACTAGGCACTCAGTTCCCTTTCTGCTGTGTCTTTATGAGTGGGTGTCTAAACCCACCACTGTTTCCAGCTGTTGATCTCATCATAAACCTGCACAAGAATAGATTTGCTCTCCTTGGTTCCACCAGTGAGGGTTTGGTCGCCTGGAGTCTTTGTTCTGGGGCAGAGCCGCTGCTGAGCCACAGCTCTGTCCCTGCCCTGGACGCTGCTTTGGTTTCGGTGCCTGCCTTGGTGGGGGTTCCTGCAGGAGCTTCTGCAGGTGCAGACCTGGCCTGTGTCAAACCCCCTCGTGCTGCTGCTGCTGCCCTGTTTCCTCTGCAGCTGCAGTTCCCAGTGCTCCTGGGGAGTGGGATGTTTTGCTGTTTCTTTAGCCCATTTCTTACATCTGATGGCCACTTGCTGTTGCAGTTCATCTTGGAGAGTTGCACGTGGATTTGGGAACTCAGTTAGGTTTCTGTGCTTGTAGCCTGTGGGTTTTTATCTGAACTCTGTTGGGGCTCAGACTTTGGTAATTCCTGGTTGAAATCTGAGGTCTCGGGGTTTCACTGTGCTCCCCTCACTCCCAGCTGCTGAAATTGCTGCATTTCCAGCATTGCTGATTTCCTGCACTCAGTTCCTGAGCTGCTGCCAGGGTCACCTGGTGTGGGGAGGGGGAGACACTTGGAAGTGCCTTGATTCCATAGGGAGCTGGGTTTGTCTCTGGAACGTGGCATTCCCTGCTCATGTTCCCATCAGGGCCAAAGGATCCTGGGTAGGGTCAGGCAGCAGAAGGGAGCATGGCTGGGCTCTCAAATCTGCTCCTGTCTCAGGTCCTACAGATCAACAGACGGACGGACGACCCCCCAGCTGGGGAACCCCTCGACTCCCCAGCCAGCATCGCCTGAGGTGGGCAGCTACCACTCCCACTTGGAGCTGTCCCACAGCCACTCACCACGCAGCCCCATCAGCCCCGAACTGCTCTGTGCCCCCCTGACCCCCCTGTCCCGGGACTCCCTGCGCCTCCTGTCCAGCGAGGACACGCGCTGCTCCACGCCCGAGGCCGGCCTGGA